GAACTCTTGCTATGCCTTGTATCATCATGTCCAGTCCATTTGTCAAAACATTTATATCACTTCAAGGGATCACAGTCACCATCAGCAGTCAGTAAGAATGGACACAAAATGCAGCTGATTATGCTTGTTAGATTGGCTAATGACCAAACACAGAAACATTTCCACTTCTTCTTCAGGCAAGATTATACAATGTGAACTGGAGTTGTACCAGCATCAGCTTTATTATCTTGGAAAGCTGCAATACAAAACACCTTTATGGCTGTGGCATATACCTCCTGCTGTCTCTGCAGCACAGAACACAAATACTTAGATATGAACATTGCTTGTACAAACCAATTAATGTATCTAAACAAACACAGAAAAGAGAGACTTTATTATTAAGGAAATCACTACCATAAAAAAATCACAGCAGTCAACAATATAATTGTCCTTTTTTCCTTAACAGAATTCTGTGAAACTCAATTTGCTGTGTTTTGTAACACAATAGGTAATGACACTGGAGTTCCAATATCATGTAATTTTTTTTCTTTTTTAATACAATGAGTAAAAAATTTGGTCCTAAAGTTAATTCAAGGAAATAGAAAGATCAGGCAGACACATTCAATTTTTATATGAATATGCTTTGTTAGACAAACAGTATCAGATATGCATTGTTTCAAAAAACTGAATGTTACATGCATTCAGTAAGAGCAGGTATCAGCTCAAGTGAGCTGATAATTGGGATCCAGTCATAGGTCAATACATGAGGTAAGTATTTAGGCTCAAGTCAGAGAGAAGGTTAGAACACAGGAAACAGAGCAAACAGGAATTTAAAGAAATGTCATAATGGATATTACAAGGGATTTTCTTGACAAATGTCTTGACTGCCATATTGTTCAGATCTGTGACTTTCTGTCTACCTTTTCAATCCTTTACTAGAATACATTTAAATATTTTCTGGGGGAAAAAAAATAAAAAGAAGGAAATATTTCTGCATTTAACAAAACCTGTCATTTAGCAATAACACTCCAACGAACCTGAAGGCAACAGCACACATGCTGTTTTATTACTGTGCATAAAAGTCAATGTTCTCAAAAACTGCAGCTTACATCACATAAGGCATCTTCAAAGGATGGCTCTCAAAAGAAATTCTCTAACCATAGCAACAAGTGTCTATAAATATTCATAAAAGTAATTTCAACATACCTAGTATCAGAAACAGATTAGCCATGTGATGTTCAACAGAGAAGAAAAACTATCATTTGTATTAATATATCTCTTCGATATCTCCAATACCAATTAAACAAATTATGCAATTGCACTTTTTACTGAAAACCTTGCAGGAACAGTCTTGCTCATTGGTATCAAAGGTTTAGTGTGTTTTTTGGTTTATTTTGGTTTTTAAAGCAAGGAAATTAGTGGGCCAGTCAAGTCAGTAATTTGTTCCATACCAGTTATTTACTTTTTTGGTGCTTACATAAAGCACTAAATTGACTATAATATACTCCTTGGTTTCTTCCAGCCATATCAACTTAATGCAAACTTTACCCTCCGAATCTGCATAGTTTGTGGTATAGATATGACCCATGTAATCATAAAGGCCAGATGTCCTGGAGGACAGTTCCATGTGGACTGGGGCACTGAAACACCAGAAGGGCTCTCCAATTTCATCCAAGAGAGTAAGATTCATCATGTAGCAGTCCTAGAAACACAAACAGAAGAGATTATTTCTCTATGCCATGGCACAGTAAGTAGATCTGTCCCTGATTTCAGGAGAAGTATCAAGGGTTCAGAGAGCAATTTTTTGTATGAAAGCTAAAAATTCAAAATATAATTGACAGTGCTCCACTGATTACTGCAAAGCAACAAATACTTATTAGAGGTTTCCTACAGAAATCAAGATTACAACATACAGACATCAAAAGCTGTGCTACAGAAGGTAGCACTGTCAACCCAAATCAGACATTATTTCTAGAACAGTTTTAAGCCTTTAACATCTGTGTTTCTCAATTATTAGTAACCTTACCATGCAAACAAATGACAGCCCTTGCAATATGAGAAAGCAACTTAAGTTTAAAATCAAGTTTGGAACTTGTGTGAATGCAACAATGTTTGCAGAGATACTCAGAGACCACCCCAAGGAAGTGTACAGACACTTTTACCCTTAAGATGTCAGCTGTAAAAGGAAGCTTTACTGCACTTTTTGAATGGCTCCAAGCCTTGGTTTCCAAGAAGGTAATACTAATATATCTTTCCACCTTCCACTTCCTTTTAGAAAGTCTTGAAAATGTTTCTTTACAACATTACACAATTACATAATTTTATAATGCTAATGTCAGGAAGCCACTTCTTCAGCACTTGCAAACTGACAGTTTCACATGTCCCTTAAAAGCACAGGAATTGTGTGTCATTGTTAGTATCAGCTGCTACTTTTTCTCATGAGCTCTAAATCACTAAATGAATCAAATTATCTTAATTATGTAGTATATATGCATTACTTCCAGGAGTAATGTTCCAAAAGTATAAAAAAACCCAACATCACGTATTCCGTGCCAAGAAAAAAATAATTTGGAATGCTTTATTTCTCTGTACTACATAGTTGTGTTTCTGTTGCTTTAACATTGCTTTCACAATTACTTTACTTCAATCAAACAATAGAGAGCAGATGGCATAAATATAAGGTGTGATAAGTGAAAGCACCGGTTTTTATTCCAAGCAAATTAAAATCAAAAGGGGGTACTAACAAAAAACTATTTCTGTATATTTACTAACTTCTAGGCGTACCGTGGAGTCTGTGAGGTGAAAGGTCCTGTCTGGACCTAACACCAGGGAATCTTTTGCGGCCGGGAACAGGGAACAAATTATAAATGAAAATATA